GGGGGGGGGGGGGGGGGGGGGGGGGGGGCAGACAAAGCGGCAGTGTGGGAGCTAAAGGAGTTAAAGGCTGTCTGTGGAGAAACGTGAGCCCAAAACTTTTTTAAAAACACACACCGGTCTCTGCGCCATGACAGCGGAGCAGGAATAAAGTCTGCTTTTTAAAAAGCCCCCACGCGCACACACACACACACTATCGCCCCCACCCGACACTCAGCGATATCTGAGCATGAATGCACGCCTTTGAGTTACACAAAACCACGCACGACCAGGAAAAAAAAAGAGCTACAGATAGGTTCACTTTTTTTTTTTTTTTTTTAATTCAAACTGCAACGTGCACGTTTTTTCTTTAGGTGAGACGTTACGATACAGACATGTCCGGGGACATTTAAACGCAGCGTGGGTCTGCAGACCTCGTAAACCCCACGTGAAACCAACCGGCGAAAAAAAGGAGGAGAAGAAAGAGGAAAAAAACGTGCATGCAACAGGGGAACGTGCACGACTGCAGTTTTAAATGACAGCTAATAGGAAAATGGGAAGGGAGGGGTCCAAAGAAGCATGTTAGCTGCTGACACCAGTTTAAATTAATTTTAATCGATTTCAGCCGTCTTACCTTCAACTGTTAACGAAATTCAGTGTGAAGAAAAGCCAAAAAGGAAGACAAATTAGCGTCCAATTAGCGTCCAATGGCGGCGTTAGCCGGAAGGAAACTTTTTCTTCTGCGTGGAAAAACTGGAGCTGGAGCGAAGCGGCATTCCGGGCTCCTCCGGGTCTGGTGCTCTGACTCCGGGTCTGTCTCTGGTGCTCTGGGCTCCGGGTCTGGCTCTCCTCCCCCGCTACGGTCACGCAGAGTGGGTGTGGCCGCGGGGCGCCGGCTTATGTACCGCCGCGCCGCCTCCCTTCCGCCGCTGACCCGATTCGCGCCAAAATCTCCCGCAGGTCCGGGCCGGCCCCCGTTACCACCGGCCCCGGTCCCCCTGGCGTCCCGGTCCACGTTGATACAAACAGAAAATAGTGTAAATCATTTCCCATTGGGATTGCTAAATTATTTCTGATTCTGACCAGAATCTGGGGCGGTAAACCGATCCGGAGCGAGGGACTATATGCGCGGAGGGATCCGCGCATGACTGGATTCCAGGAAAATGGTGGCGGGCAAACGTAAGGATAGACAGACACACGTGGATTGTGGGAAGTCGCCGAGTGTCCACAGTCTGGTAGCCGGGCCCCGGGGAGGCGGTGGGAGAAGACAATACAAGAATGTTTCACCAAACAACACCACTCTCAGCTATGCGATTACGTTGTCATGTGATTAATTGTGGAAAAAATACAACATGTCGGTTCTTTATTATGGAATGAACCAGTAAAACATCTGTCCATTGATATTAAAGCAATCTTAAACTATATTCACTCCCCAAAACACTCTGTCATGCCATATTTTCCAGGTTATATCATATTTAAATCACTATATTGTTTATTTTCTGCTTGTTGGTCTCTTAAGTGCTTCTTTTGAGTGCGTAATTAAAGGTGATTTGATTCTACAGATAAGAGCATCTGCATATTTCCTGTCACATTATCTTGCAAGGTGTTTCGCAACCCACCTGCAACCCCACTCCTCCCCCCCTTGTTACACTTAAACTTTTAAGATTAAAAGCATGTGGCTTATCCTGAAAGGCAGCATCCTCATAGTCACAACAGTCTTCAGCTCTAAAGGCACTAAATGTTTAAACAAACGCCATCCCAGGCTGTTTGGGTGGCCCTGACCGAGGGAAAAAAAGCTCCCAATGCACGTGTTTCCAACTAAATCAACATTTTTTCAAAAAACGCGCTGCGAGTGCGTGAAAACAAAACAGTTTTGGGGGTTAAAAAAAAAAAAAAAAGGTCTACAAAGGCATGAATGGACAACAAAAAAAAAGCCATTGCGATGCGCATTACTACATCCCTCCCTCCGGGTCCTCACGTTACATAACGGACGGGGATTCGCCGGTACACGTGCGAAGTTGGCCGGCCAATCACGGCCCGAGTTGGATCCTCGGATCCGGCTCACGTGGTTTCCCGGCAAGCTCCGAGAAAAATAAAAAAAAATGGAGCAACGGGGAGTCTGCGTCCTGGTACCGGCCCCGGTTTACGCACCCAACCCCTGAGACGGAACCGTGCGTAATTATTTACGCACCGGGAAACGCTCCACCGAGCTGTTTCCATTTTAATTTCCTTTATTTCATTGTGTTGCTGCAACTGAAGATAAGCAGCAAGTTGCTCAACAAAAGGCTGCAGGATTATGCGCGTCCACGCAACCCCCCCGCGGGGCGTTCACACATGTAAATAAACATGTAAATAAACTGCTTTTCTGTTTGTTTTTTGTCATTCATGCACGGTTTAATTGACATGCATTCTGCACTCCTTGAAATAATCCGAGCACTGTTGGTGGTCCGTTAAATGGAAAAGGCACTTTGGGCTTCTTTTTTTTAATTATCATGCATGAGAGATGGAGGCTCTTTTGGAGGACTGGGTGTTTCTTTTCTGTCAGCAGCAGCTGATCTGCAGAGGACACTCCCGGAGTGATTAAGTGGGTTAATGTGCCACCTACAGGCCGACCGGCGGACTAACTGACTGCCCCGGTTCCAGATGGGCCACTGACTCACTTCTTTAATCCCCTGGATGAGTGGATGATTGTGAGGAATCTCACACACGTTTGCGTGGAAATGACTCCCGAACGGGTCTTCATCTGAGTCCCAAACCCCCCGGTCCAGCTCAGTGAATCGGCTCAGAGCTTTTTGTTTTCACACCGAATGCTGGTGTGCCATTTTGAGGCCAAAGTAAGGTCAGATTTGGTACTTTTAGGATGCCTATTGTGTGTTTTCATTCACTTTGAGCCCTTTGGGACTTGGCTTTGCAGTTACATGACGCATCCATGTACATTACAGATATTTCCTGGTGTTATCAATGAAAGAAAATGAGTATAAAAGTTGAATTCTTTTTAAAATTGAGTCAAATCAGTTACTTGTATTCACTGGAAATGACTGGAAGGGATGTGAACCATGTACACAGAAATTAAGGGTTTCGTTATTCATGCTCAAAGGCACATTTCTCATAAAAATACTCTGAGGAAGAGGAATTTGGACTTGGACTTGATGCTGGAGATGTCCGTTTCCCACCTGGATGGTATAAACCATCACTTACACTTACAGGCATTTGGACGAATGTGTGGTGCTTTTCGGTTCCTGGATGAACGTTAGTTAATTCCTGCTGTGTGGTTTAACTTTGTATTTCAGATACATTCGGTGTCAGCTGGATTCCTAGATCTAGGTTTCTCACTAACCCAGTGTGTCTTTGTCCCGTCCCTGCCCCTGGTCCATCACCCCCACAGGTTGTTGTAAAGCCCTTTTTGCTGTACAGCTCGCATATCTTTGGGCCAGTCCTTTACACTCTCAGCACCTACATTTACATTCAGGTGTCCAGGATTCACTCTCTGAGGAGGCACCCTCAAACGTCCTGCTGGGAGCATGAATTTAACCTCCAGGGCCTCCGAGAGTACAAATACCTGTCCTGGATTTTAGATCTGGGCCATTTAGGAGACGTAATCTGTGAAAGTACAGCAGAACCTCTGCTTACGATGTCTAAACATACGCATTTAACAACTTCAAAAGTTAAATTTGATCAAATATTTGACTCGATACCCGAAGTTAATGACCTTGAAGTCATGGATTGATGGATGAAATATAGAAATTAAATAATAATAGATAAACAAAGCGAGTTTAAAGTTCAGGTATTGAAAGTTAGAGTAAGTTAGGGTTCGTCCTGTTTTCTCAGTCTCTACCTCTACCTCAATAAGTGCCAATAAAACCCCCTTTTTATTGATTATTTCTTTATAATGTAGTTCTTTTTACATCTCTCTAAGGCATTTGTTTTATTGCTATGTGTAATTATCTGCAGTATTTAATAAGGAGTCATCAAAGGGTTTTTGGGCTGTGGAACCAATTATACGTATTACAGTGTGTTCTTATGGGAATATTTGAACCAACATACGAATAGTTTAACATACAAAGTAGGTGCTGGAAACTAATTAAACTCGTATGTAGAGGTTCTGCTGTGCTTCAGGAGACAGGAATGTACCCCCCCTGTACTTCTACTGCATGTGTCTTTATGTGTAAGCGAAATACAAGCGGCTGCATCATGGTCCTGCCGCTCTTTCCTCAGAACACTGAGGCTCTTATGTAACGTCTGTGGTGGGTTAGGGTTAGGGTTAGGGTTAGGATTCTGAGGCCGAGGCTGCAGTTCGCTGGAACTTCTCTGTGCAGCAATCTGAGGAAACGAGGACTTCACCCTGCACCGTAGCGTTGGGTGTCTTTTCGCGGTGGTTTAAATTTGTTTAAATACCCAACATGACACACCTCTCTCCTCTGACTAGATAAACATCTCAACTGACTCACCGGCTGACTGATCCGCCGAAATGTAGATTAACGTGCCGGTTCCTGTTGAAGTGACTTTCTAACTGTCAGCATGTTCTCGAGGCTCAGCGTTGAGGAGGGTAGGTGTCTTTTGATGCTGCGTTTGCAAGCTTTTGGCTTAATTTTCATTCAAATCTTCGAAGTCAGGATCCGAAATAAAAAAGCCTCTCATTCAGAGCATGGCTCACGTTTAGCACACGTAACTATAAAAGTTTGTTTATTACTTTGGGCACTTTTTTTTTAAGGGATGAAGAAATCTGGATTTGCTTCCTGGAATGCTTGTAAGGTAATAAAGATGGAGAGATCAACTGAATGTTGACAGGCATCGTTTGTGTGTTTGTTCTCTTTAATCCGTTTGCACATCCTTGATTCTTCTTGCAACATCCTGCTGTATATTTGCATTTGTTTCGGATTATCTTTGAAATGTTTGTAACATAATATACTACTACTAATAATAATTATAATCAGATTTTGAAAAAATGACATTGAAAAGTGGCAAAGTGGGTCTCTTTTTATAAAACCAGCAACGTATTCTTATGTGCTCCGGTTAAACTGACACAGAGAGAATCTGAGTCCCCTTTCTAAGCAGATCGTTTTGAGGAATGGGGTGACCGGCTGGAGTGCACTCCACCTCGGCCCCTTTGGAGATTTGCAGCACTCCGTGACCCTTGAAACAGGTTATTAAGCTCTAAGGAGGCGTAAGGTAAATACTGAAGGGGACCCAGGTTGAGCTGGACGGTTTGGGATTCAAACTCCTTGTTCACGTTTGCTCAGATGGTCTAGTTTTGTCTCATTAAACAACGTCCTGCTGAAACATTATTATCTTTTTCAGTTCTGCTGCAGAAATAACTGAAACTATAACTAAAAAAATCATGAAAATGATGTGGAGAGCCAAACAAAAGTAGTAGCGGTATAACTTCCCCCTTTTGATGATAAAGTCAATAGAGAAGTTGAAATTAGGAAGAGCTATATTTGTGAAGCGACTTTACTCTATTCTGATTGGCTCACTGGATGAACCGCTTGTAGTTACGAGGCTGAAAAACTTGACGAAAGGTTAAAGACTTCCAGTTTTTGCGCCTGTTCTGAAACTCAAAAATACATAAAAAACAATATTAGTAATTTTTTACAAAATCCATAAAGGATTCGGTGGCATATTCTCCATAATAACTCCTTC